CGGCCCCCAGGGGGCCATTGCCGGCTGGGCCTCGGAACCGTCAAAAAACATCCAGGATGAAAAACCGGTCCCGGGGAATGGGTCGAGACCTCTGGGTGTCGACGTTATGAAAAAATCATGACGTCGGGGGTCTGGGTAGGGAGAGGGGGGACGGCTTCTTTGGAGGAGGCTGCTTCTGAAACGGCGCTGGCCTCCTCTGTGAATGCAGGGCCGGCGCCTTTCAAGAAGCAGCTTCTTTCTGAGAAGTTTCCCCCCTCATCCTGCCCCTCCTGCCCCTCCTCCTCCTCCTCCCCCTCCTCCTCCTCCTCCTCCTCCTCCTCCTCCCCCTCCTCCTCCTCCCTCCCCTCCCTCCTCCTCCTCCCCCCTCCTCCTCATCCTCCCCCTCCCCCTCCACTCCTCACTCCCCTCCTCCCTCCTCCTCCTCCTCCTCCTCCTCCTCCTTCTCCTCCACCTCCCTCCTCCTCCTCCTCCTCCTCCTCCTCCTCACCCCATTCTCCTCCTCACACTCCTCCTCCTCCTCCTCCTCCTCCTCCTCCTCCTCCTCCTCCTCCTCCTCCTCCTCCTCCGCCTCCTCCTCGCACCAGAAAAAGTTTCTGAGCCCCCCTGGTGCGCGCCGCCCAGACAGGTCGCGCCTGCTCGGGGCCGCCCCTGCGGGCAGGCGACCGGGGCAGGGGCTCTCGAGAGCTCCGCCTGCGCGGCGACTCGGAAGCGCCTCGGGCCGTCGGAGGCCCCCCCCGAGGACGCGTGGCGGCAGAGCGCCGTGCGCGCTAGCGCCGCGGGGGCCTGCGCGGGGGAGCGGCCAGGGCCGCGCCGCTCTCGGGGAGCACACACAGACAGACACAAGCCATCGTCGATTCGCAGGAGAGTCTGGGAGGTGGTGGGGACGAGGAACGTGAAGAAGAAGTGCGGGACATGTGGGGGATCCTTGGGCTTTGTGTATTTTTCCGCCGTGTGCGCCTGGGCACCTTTAGCCTCTCAGCCCTCAGATCTGAAGTCGCCAGCAGGTAGCAACCTCGCAAACCATCACCCCCGGAGCTCCAGGCCCAATCATGCTCCGGGGCTCAAGAGCACTGCAAATGGGGGTAAGCCAGAGCGCCGAATCTTGCAGGATCCTGCAGGGCCAGGGTCTCATTGACCCAGGCTTAGGCGCAGGATCTTGCAGGATCCTGCAGGATCTTGCAGGATCCTGCGAGGCCTGGCCTCACTGACCCGGGTCTGGATTGACCCGGGTCAGAAGATCCCCGATTGCTGCCCCCTTTCTTCGAGCGGGGTTGATCTGTCAGGGTCCCGGGGCTCGAGACGTGGCGAAAGCGCCCGCCGTGAAGAAATTGCAGCGCCAGGATCCTCACGATCTCAGGAAAGCCCGAGCAGCATACGGCTTCCTCGGGTCGCTGGCCCAGAAGGAGGATGAGGACGAGGACGAGGACAAGGATGAGGAGGAGGAGCAGGAGGAGGAGGAGGAGGAGGAGGAGGGGGAGGAGGAGGGGGAAGAGGAGGAGGAGGAGGAGGAGGAGGAGGAGAAGGGAGATGGGGAGGATGACAAGCTAGGTGCGCTCGCGTCATATCTGACGTCCTACCCCTCCCTCTCCCATCCCTTACAATGGCGTAGATCTCCGCTCTATTCGCACAGTCGGATGTCGAGCAGGGCAATGATCCCGAGAGGGAGCGCGATGCATCGTAGAGCCTGGCGTAGCAGGGCGTCGAAGAGCACGGCAGATCGTAGTATGTCATAGCATGGCGTGGCGTTGCGTAGTGAAGAGTTGCATCACCACAGCATTACTTATGACGCAAATAATGGTATCGCACAGCGGCACATCATAGAACATGGCATAGCATGGCGTTGAATATCACACCGTAGCATGGCATAGCATGGCGTGGCATTGCGTAATCGAGCACTGCATATCCTGGTATTGCAGCTGCAATAATGGCATCGCACAGCGGAATACCACATAGCATTGCATTTCATGCCGCGGCATGACACTGGAAATGATGACGCCAGCGTTGCAGCGGGAACACACTTCGGAACGAGCAGAAGCGCGAAAATGAGGCCAGCCCTGTAGCGGGAGCACGATTCGGAACGAGCGGAAGCGCGGAAATGAGGCCAACGCTTCAGCGGGAGCACGACTCGGAACGAGCGGAAGCCCGAAAATGAGGCCAGCGCTTCAGCGGGAGCAGCATTTTGGGCAAAACCACGCGAAAATTCAAGTCCGAGGAATCCTGTATGCTAAAAAGGAGGGCGCGGAGGGGGGGGCGAATATCTTCCGGACATCATCAAGGGAGAGAGGAGACTAGTATCCATATTGTGTCACTGTGGATGACGAGGAGAAGGAGGAGGAGGAGGAGGAGGAGGAGGAGGAGGAGGAAGAGGAGGAAGCGGATGCTGAGGAGGCGGAGGAGAAGGAGGAGGAGGAGGAAGAGTTGGAGGAGGAGGTGGAGGTGGAGGACGAGGACGAGGAGTAGGACGAGGTGGATGACGAGGAGGAGGAGGCGGAGGAGGAGGCGGAGGAGGAGGAGGTGCAGTCCTGGCAAGGTCCTGCGTGGCCGTGCTCGCGCTCGGCGTCTGCGCCGCCGCGCTGGCGAGCACGCTGGTTGCGCCGCGCGCGGAGGCAGCGACGCACCGCCTGCCGCTGCCGCTGCCGCCGCCGGCAAGCAGTCACGCAGGCAAGCGAGGAGGCAGGTGATCATCAAGCAGTGGCGAAGCGTCCTAGCTTCCTTACAGGCCTACCAAAGAATGTTGTAAGAACCTTTTTTTTGTGGTTTGCACGACAAGTTCTTAGAACATTTCTGGCTGAGACTGACGCGTTATGACACATAGGGCTCATGTTCTAAGAACATTGCTTTTGTTATGAGAACATTTTTGGCTTCTAAGAGCATGTCGTGGTAGGCCCATAAGAATGCCGGGACGGCCGGTCCCTGCTCAAGATCACGCAGGCACGGAAGCAAGCGGGCATGCAGGCAAAGGAGCGCTCTGGAGCCGGATCTGGAGTCGGTCCCGGCTCGGGAGCAACGCATCAGTATCCCGAGCAAGCGGGCATCGTACGCGAAGCACTCAAGGGAAAAAAACTACCCGGACCGTACAATTAGCTTTTACTAAACGGCCCTGGGCGTCTACTAAACAGCCCTGTCCTGTTCGCTTCCTTCTCTGGGCGCGTTTACTAAACGACTTCGCGTGTCGGGGTGGTTATTATGGGGGTGGATTTTTTGTTTTTTAAGCACGGCAGTGAGCTTGGATTCGGATCCGAATTCGGATACCAGCCTCAAACCCTAAAAAGCAGCCAGGGGCCTGCAGCTTCGGGGTGCCGTCTCTCGAGGGGCCCGTGGCCTGAAAGGAAGTTGCTCCTGGAGGCCGAAGTCGAGAGAAGGCGTCAACGGTGAACTCTTCGCAACGACTGGCTGTTTGCGGATCCCCCCAAAATATCGGCGGCCAGCCGGGGGGGCGAGTGAGAGGTGGCGGGCTTTCCCAGAAGGTTTGGAAGTTCTTGGGCCTTCCGAGAAGTTTCGAAGCCTTCCCTGAAAGCACAGAACACTCTTTGGAGGGCTTCTGAGAAGCCCCACCGCCTTCTGAGAAGGTCTTCTCCTTATCACTTCCCCCCTCGCTCGACGCCGAAGGGCGTTGACCCCCATACCTCTCTTGGAGCGAGGCCAGGCTAGCATCTCGATGGGACCCAGCTGCGGCGACGAAGGCCTCTTGCCGGAGGCCAACAAGAACAAACAAAGCTTGAACTTCCTCCTCGCTCATCCTCCTGGACGTCACTACACGATTTACGTCTATCGCCCGCGTTTCGGCCATGCTCGCGGGACAGCCTGGTGAGCAGGTTTGCTTCTGGTCTGGGAGGCATCTCTGCTCTAGCCTTCTGCTTTGTCGTTCTTGTCCGTGGTGCGGGAGAGCCCCTGTGAGGGGCAGCGGGTCCTCCTTGAAACAAATCTTCCTCCTGATCTTCTGGACGCCTGGAGTTCCTGGGTCGTTCGATCGACGCCCGCTCCACAATGGAGCCTCGCGCGGCTCCAGCCGCCAGAGCTGCTTCTGACCTGGCAGGACCAGCTGGTTTAGACGAGGAAGAGAAGGATGAGAAGCAGGATGAGGACAGGGCCACGACGGATTATGATGATGCTGATGATGATGTTGATGATGATGATGATTATGGTGGTGGTGATGCTGATGATGCTGATGATGCTGATGATGTTGTTGATGGTGACGATGGTGATGATGAAGATGGTGATGATGGTGATGATGGTGATGATGGTGATGGTGATGGTGATGGTGATGGCGATGGTGATGGTGATGGTGATGGTGATAGTGATGGTGATGGTGATGGTGAGGAGGAAGAGGAGGAGGGGGAGGAGGGGGAGGAGGAGGGAGGAGGAGCAGGAGGAGGAGGAGGAGGAGGAGGAGGAGGAGGCAGGTGCCTTTCGTCTATATGGCCCCTCCGTGTGAGGCGGCCTGAGGTCGCCGACATTGGAGACCCACTGCTTTTGCTCAGTTTCTTGCGCCTTGGATGCGGGAGACCGTGGCTGCGCTCAACTGGTTCAATCGGAGGAGGAGGAGGAGGAGGAGGAGGAGGAGGAGGAGGAGGAGGAGGACGACGACGACGACGGCGGGGATCAGTAGGAGAAAAAAGGAGTGTAGACAGAGAACGACGAGGACGATGGGTAGATGGAGAAGCAGGACGAGGACGAATGACGGAGAAAGAGGAGGAGACATGAAGGAGCAGTAGGAAGCAGCCTGAGAAAATGAGGAGGAGGAGGATGAGGAGGGGGGGTGGAGGATGATGAGCAGGCAGAAGAGGACCCACAGAAGGATGAGAGGAAGAGGCGGGAGGAGGAGGAGGCATGGGCGGAGGAGCAGGCAGAGGCGGCGGCGAATGAGGAGATTGAGGAGGCAGGGCCACTGGAGGACCCTGATGCCACCAGCCCGAGCTCGAGGAGGAGGCAGAGGGGGGAGGAGCGGATGCCTCGAGCCTCTGCTCCCGCGGGCGGCCCGAGCGAAAGCCAGCCAGTGAGCCCGAGGAGCGCGCAGCCGACCCTGGCAACCGCCCCTGGCCCGAGGCGAGAGGGGCCAGACTCCCCGTGGCGGGCGTGCCCCGCCGGCCGGCTGCCGCCATGGAGGCGCCCAGCAGGAAGGCCGCGGCCGCGCGGGCCACCCTGGCGGCGCCCGCCCCCGCGGCGCCCCGCGAGGAGGACGCCGCCGCCGCGGCCGGTGCGGCCGCCTCGGGGCCCGGCGGGGCGGTCGCCGCCGCGGAGGCCGCCGCGGAGGCCCCTCTCGCTGTAGACGTGCAATCCTCCTCCCTGGCTCGAAGAAGGAAGAGCATCATGAGCAGACGGCCATGGTCCTATTCTTGGCGCGTAATTGGGCATACGCCTAAACACGCTAAGTGCTCCGAACTTAGCGTGCCTCCTGCGTGTATGTCGGAGGGCCGTTTCACCCGACCTTACTTGGCGTGTACGCCCCTACGCTACTTAGCCTGTCAGCGGCTTCGGTTTCGCAGGGAATCGGACCACGACCGTAAGCGTTCGGACCTCCGCGCGGATTTCTTGGATCGGCGCTGGAGGCCCCCCCCTGGCGGCGCCTCTGGCCCGGTCCGTGGCGCGCTCCGCGCGCCAGGGAGGGTCCGCACGGACCTCCAAAAGAATGCCGCTTATCCCTGGCCTCCCTCTCCTCCTCCTCATCCTCCTCCTCATCCTCTTCCCCTTCACCGTCCTCCTTTCCTCGGCCTCCTGCTTCTCCTCCTCATTGACCTCGATTTCGTCAGCCGGTATGGGTGCAGGGTTATCGACATTGATGGGCAATCATCCCTTGCTTGTTGGTGGCTCTGCATTGCACAGAGGGTCGTGCAGTTCGAGAAATACAGCATGTATACCTTCCTTTGAAATTCCGTGCGCGCGTGGTCCTGAGGAGGTTCCCCGAAGAACCCGAAAAGTCTTCTCACTTCCCCCGCTCCTCGATTGTTTCCTCCGCCAAACAGTCTCCGTCTCCTCATCCGCCTCCTCGTCCTCCTCCTTCCCCTGGACCCATCCCGTAATTTGGAAATTGCGATGTATTCCGGTTCCTTCTCAGGGCGTGGCCCCGTAGACACCGCCAGTTTGCGCCATAGGTTTCGTCATCTATGGGCTGGAGCCCCTGCGTCGTGCAATCTCCCTGCCGAGCATCAGCAGTTCTGGTTGCATCGGCTGCGGCTTCTACGGCCGAGGATTCAGAGGGCCGATGTGCTGGCTGCGCCACGGATTGCGCTCTCGTGGCGGCCGAGAATCCAGCTGCCTGCTGTCGGTTTCGCAAGAGGTTGCGCACTTGGTTCGGTGGTTCAAGGGTGGGGCACCGAGGGATGGGGCCCTCAGGACGAGGTGCCTCAAGCAATGTAAATCCACCCTCGGATCCCTTCGATCTGGGTTCCCATCTCTCAGGACCCCATCTTTGAACCACCGATCGGCTGTGGAGAGTAGAGCGGCCGCTCGGCGGGTGTTACTGTTCCCGAGTTGGTTAATTTCGCAGGCAAAGCTAAGCTCGGGCTCGTCGCCCGAGAAGATGACGGCCCACAGCCCGCTTTTGGGAGACCCTGCTCCGTCGATCGCCCCACGAATTCGCTGGGAGGGAGGAGAGATGACGAGGAGGGGGAGGATGAGGAAATGGGAGAGAAACGGGGGAGGAAGAGGAGGATAAGGGAGAAGAGGAGGAGGAGGAGGAGGAGGAGGAGGAGGAGGAGGGCAAGTCCGTGGCTCGAAACCTGCAAACAGATGGCATGTATCTCCTTACCCCCCTCCATCACCACAGGCCATTCACCTCCCCCGACGAGAGTTGCTTACTGCCTTCGTCAGGGGAAGTCGAAGGCAAACCAGATCCACGCAAGGTGAACCCCCCCCAGGCCGCAGACATCACCTTGGACTGGGTACCCTACTTCCTCCTCGGAGGCGGAGGGTACCAGCCAGGATGGCATCTGCTAGCTGGGGGGGGTCCCAACTGCAGGACCTGAGGCCCTTGCCTTCGGCCGTGCCGCACCGCGGCACCCTCAGAAGGGCCCCGCTAATGTTCCCCAACCTTTTTTTTACCCTGCACGCCCACCACCTCCCACCCCCCCCTTCTTGATGCTCGGTGTATGCACTCCCACTGCCACCTGGGCTACAGCACAGCCCTCCTTGCTGCCCCCGTGCATCCTGCTGGGGCCATCCGGGCCAGTCGCCACTCACGTTGATTTCCTATTTACCTCCGTGCAGCTTCCTTCACTGTCGGCCTCCGGGGCACTACGAACCCTTTCAGTGCCCACCACGCCCACCTCCCATCCTCTGACCAGGAGGGCGCCCCAAGAGGGTTGACCCAGGGCACCCCCAGGGCACCGACCCCAAGAGGTCGGAGGACCAAAATGGGGGGGGGGGCATGTCAGGGCCTTCTGGGGCCCATCCGCGCCTGTCCGTGCTTTGCCGCTTACTTCCACCTCTTCTCCCCCCCCGTCGGATGTTATGATGGTGTTGGTGCCTCATCTTCTTCCTCTTCCTTCTCCTTGGGTTGAGTCCCACAATTTTGCCCTACCTTTTGCGTCTCGCCTCTTCCTTAATGGGCCCCCACACACCCAGGCCTTTGCCGGGTGGGAGGGGCGGGACAGGTTTGCATGGCCACGGGATCTCTTCGACCGCCATGAGCAGCAGCAGCAGGAGGGCAAGCGAGGGGATGAAAGAAGGGAGGAGGAGGAGGAGGAAATGAGGGCCGATCCCTCAATCGATTGGAATCGGGGCAGTCGACCAGACCCTCGGTCGGCAGGATTGCTCCTTCGCGCGTCTGGGACGGGTTGGGCTGGCTTGATAAATCGTTGCGACCATGCCGTGTATCAAACTCAGTCGAGACGACGCATCTGAATCGTTGCGACACAGTTGTCTGGTGATGCTCGCGGGTTGAAAGGGTGCTAGGATGCTTGGGAGCAGATTTTTATTTAATCGCTTCGCTCATTCCGCCGGCCCATACAGTCTCATGTCTGCCGTTTGCCCGAGGGCTTGGTGTCAATGCGGCGCTTTGGGGGTTCCTGGGGCCGCTTGGGGGACTCCTGGGGCGCTCGGGGGGGCATTTGGGGGGCCTCCTGGGGCCGCTTGGGGGACTCTTGGGGGCCTCCTGAGGGCCTCGTGGGGGCCTCTTGGGGCCTCTTGGGACCTCTCAGGGGCCTCTGGGGTCCTCCTGGGGGCTTCTTAGGGCCGAGGGCTGGACATGTTGTGTCGTGTTCCCCCCCTGGGGCCGCTCTTGGGGCGTTCTTGGGGCCCTCTTGGGCCGTCTTGGGGCCCTCTGGGGCCGTTTTGGGGCCATCTTGGCTCGTCGTAAGGCCCTTGTGGGGGGCTCTTGGGCACTCTTGAAGCGGTCTTGGGGGCCTCTTGGGCCGTCGTCGGGCGTTGGAAAGCGGAAAGGGTGGGAATACCAAAATCTCACCAAAACCTAAGGAAAAGCGATGAATTTTGCCTATTGGGGCCCTCTTGGGAGTGCTCTTGGAGGCCTCCTGGGGCGTTTGGGGGCAATATGGAGCGTCTTGGAGCGATCTTGTGGCATCTCGGAGCCCTCTTGTAGCATCTTGGGGGCGTTTTGGGGCGTCTGGAGGCTCTCTGGAGGACCTCGAGGGCGGCACCCAGGAGGGAGAACATCTCTGACGGGAACCTCCCGGGAGTCTCCCGGGACCCTGCCGGGGTACTTTTCGTGGGGAGACCCCCAGGGGCCGCCCCGCGCGCGCGAAGAAGAATATTGTAAAGCAGTCACCGGAGATCTTAGCACGCCTCTGGCCCGTTGGGCCGGCGAATTCAGAGGCTGGCCATCCCACGCTTCTGGCGTAACTCCGATGGTTCGTCGTGGCTGAGGACATGAGACCAGAAAACGCCAGTGGCAATTTTTTGGGGGGAGCGTGGCGTAATTACCCTGGGTAGGCCAGCTGCGTTCGTCCTCCAGGACGCTGCGCTTCATCAGCGCTGTCCCGTCTCCTGTTTGCTCGGTCCATCTCTACTTATTGAATCGCTTGGCTCATTCCGCCGGCCCGTATTGTGCCATCGCAGGCGTTGGCCTGCGCGTTCGTGTCTTTTTGGAGCCTCGTGGGGGCCGTTTGGGGGCCTCTTGGCGCCTCTTTTTGGAACTCTTGGGGACCTCGTGGTGCCTCCAGGGGCCTCCTGAGCTCTCTGGGGAGCCTCTTGGGGCCTCCTGAGGACCTCTTGGGGCGGAAGGCTCGACTTGGTGGTTCGTGTTCCCCCTCTTGGGCGCCTCTTGGAGCCGTCTTGGGGCCCTCTTGGGCGATCTTGGGCGCCTCTGGGGCCGTTTGGGGGCCCTCTTGGACCATCTTGGGCCCTCTTGGGCCGTCTTGGGGCCGTCTTGGGGCCCTCTTGGGCCCTCTTGGGGCTCTCTTGGAAGCCTCTTGGGCCGTCTTGGGGCGATATTTGGGGCCTCTTGGGCCGTTTTCGAGCGTCCGGAAGCCGAACAAATGAGAACGCCAAAATCTTTCAAACAACCAAAAGGAAATCGACGATGTTTGCCTCCTGGGGCCTTCTTGAGACGCTTTTTCGAGGACGCTTTGGGCGTCTCGGAGGCGTCTGCGGCCGTCTGGAGGCTATCTTGGGCGTCTTGGACCGATCTGTCGGCGACTCGGAGCTTTCTTGGACCGTCTTGGGGGCTCTCCGAGCCCTCTAGGAGCGCTTTGGGGCGCCTGGACGCCGGGCCCAGAAGGAAAAAGCATCTCTGGGTCGGTCCGCCCAGGGTACTGTTCGTCCGGGGACCCCCAGGAGCCGCCCTGCGCACGCGAACTCGAAATACTGTTTACCAGTAGTCGGAGATCTTAGCACGCCTCTGGCCCGTTTGGCCGGCGAATTATTCCCACGAAGGGCTCGGGCCTGGTGAAGAGGTGACGGTGGGGAGCAGGAGCAGGAAGATGACGAAGAGGTTACGAGACCGAGGCGAAGAACTTTGGCCGGGCTGCCCCCCCCCAGGCGAAGGCTCCCGCAAGCGGCTCGTCGGAGCCGTTCGCGGGGTACTACAGCCGGCCGTTGGGGGCCTCAAAGCATGTACCCACCCCGCTGCGATTCCTTCTCTTCTCCGCTACTGCTCCCCAGGCGTCCAGCGTCGTTCAGAGATGCGAGCTGGCCCCAGGGACGCGGGGCAGCGCTCCGTGGGCCCACCTTCACGTTCTTCTGCCCTGTGCGCCGGGCCCGGATCTGAGGGCTGCTTCGCGCCCCTCCCCAGGCACGTCCTGCCCGGGAGCTCCCTGGCCGCGCTGGGGCCGGCCCACGGGCGCCGCAGGGCTGCCGCCGCGGCGGCGCCGCCGCCAGAGGGAGCCGCCGAGGCGGCGGCGGGGCCGCCGCGGGACGTGCGCGAGGAGGAGCGCCGGCAGCGCCCTCTGAGGGGCCGCCCACCCCCGTGCCGGCTCGCTGGGCCTGTGCGCCAGCAGCCCCTCGGAGGCGGCCCAGGCTGGCCTCCGCAGCTCCCCTCCTCCTCCTCCTGCTCCTCCTCCTCCTCCTCCTCCTCCTCCTCCTCCTCCTCCTCCTCCTCATCCTACTCCTCCGGCGGTGTCAGCACCCTCGCGCCACCTCCTCCAGCGGCGCCCCCAGGACGCGGAGCGCCCTGAGATCGGGGTGTGAGACCGCCTCGGTCTGGTAGTTTGCGCAGGCCAGCCAGGACTACCTCTTGGGGGCTGTCTGCGCGCAGCCCCGAAACTTGAGAGGGACCATGAGGGACCACACATGTCTCGGCAGTTGTTGCTTGTGTTTGGTGTCCAGGTGGCCTCGGGTACTACCTTCGGGTAGCCTTGGGCAGCATCGGATAGCCTTGGACTTCTTCTGCGGCCGAGCGAATGCCTGCTGCAGCCGTCGCCGCCGCTGTCGCAGTCGTCGCGGTCGCCATCATGCAGGAGCTCAGCGACAGCTTGCTGCAGATGGAGATGGAGATGGATTCCGCCTGGGGCGAACTGCGAGAGCGGCGCGAGGAGAATGCTACGCTGCGCGGGGAGCTCGCCGTGATCCAGGCGCTCATCCACGAGAGATCCGAGGGGTCCGACGGGGGAGGCGTTTTGTCGGCGGGCAGCCCCGTGCTGTCCGACATCCAGGCTCCGGAGCCGAGCTTCTGGGCGCCGAGCTTCCAGGCGCCGTCCGAGCTGAGCTCAGGGGTGGCAGCACCGACTCGCCAGGCGCAGCTGTCGCTGAATATATTCCACATGCAGTTCCAGCTGGATGGTATCTTGGAAGAGCTGGGGAACGAGAACGAGGCGGCCCAGGCGCTCAGGGGCGCAATCGACACCGACCACCTCCTGCTGCTCGCCGGCGGCAGGGCCTTCGTCGAGCCGCGGCCAAGATACGTCCAGAGCTTGATCGACGAGGTGCTGAAGAGGTACGGCGTGTGCTGCTGCCGGTGATGTGCGAGTGACCGCGCCCCCGGCCTGTGCTGCTTTCCAGACTTTGGAGCGTCTGCCGACCAGGCAGTCTCCGGGATGGGTCGTCCGTCCTGGGCCTCGAGAATGGCGAACCCGTGAGAGTCCAGCCCACAGCGGCAAACAGTGGCAAGAGAGTTCCATCATTATTTGTTCGACGGGAGGGAAAGGTGTCAATTGCTTGGACAACAGCGCCTGAGTTTTTTTGCGCGAGGCCGCGCGTAAGCGCCCTCTTCTCCGCGCGGTGTGTCAAGCTGGCGGCCCGCGTAAGCCACCGCTATGCCGCATAATGTTGCTATGTCGTCGTGCATAAGACACATTTTTTTTCGACGCTTATCTGGCAAATAGGTGGGTCGCGCGAATCACTACATCGCGCGCTTGTTGCCATTTGGGGCGACAGTGGCATGTCGTGTTGGCCCTCCGCTGCCAAGCGTGTGCTGCCTTGTTGCATTGCGACGATGCCAGCGCAGAAGGATTGCATAACTTCTCTCCCCTAGTGGTGCTCTGAGTGAACCCACGTGAGCGACGCAGTACAACGGGTTCGACTGCACTGCGTGGACATTTGCGTACAAATTGCCCGCGAAATGTCGCGCACAAGCGCCCCCGTTTCCAATGAAGCGAAGCTTGCCGCGCTGGCAGGCCGTGCTAAGGTCGCCATGCCATCGTGCGTAGACCCGGTTCTTTTCGTTGCTCTGTTTGCGCGCTCGCGTGCATGATTACCAGAGTGCCGCAACTCAGACGTCGGCGCGCGATGCGCCGGCGAGGACACATCCGACCGGCTGCCTGCGGCGAACTCCGCCGGCCACCGTGCCAGTGCATCATCTAGGCAGCCTCGAGATATCCTTCTCCCCCGGGAGCCGCCACGGTTCTGCCGTGGTTCCACCACAGTTCTGACATGATCTTGTCCTTGCGGGCCCCCTGGACGTTCTCCAGCTGTCTTGAGTCCGATGGCTTCACCCGGCGCTGCCGAAGAGGCTCGGTATATGCATGGGTTTACGGTGCCCCAGGACGCTCAAAGAGGCTCGTTAGAATCATATTGGGGCCGTGTTGACGAGACATGGGTCCGTCCTAGAATTGCCTTGGGCCGTCCTTGGGCCACTTTTGGGAGGCGGTCGGTAAAGAACCTTCTTGGGAGCTACTCGGGACCCCATGGAGCTGTTTCGGGCCCGACAGAGCCTTCCTAGGGCCATCTTGCTTAGGCCCTCAAACGCGGTAAGTAAAAAAATGGAAACCCTCGAGAGACCAGCGCGTGACAGAAGGCGGCTATTCTGGTGATGACGTCGACGGACCAGTCGGGGACCGGGCCGAACCATGGAAACCGACGACGGCGAGGGCCCAGGACCAGGCCTGGCACAGTCGATGACAGGGTTGGGCCAAAGTTATCTCTCAGGAGGGAAAGAAACACACAGACACAATTAATCGTCGACTCCCAGGAAAATATGGGAACATACGGGAATTGGGGGGAAGACAAAAACCCAGAAAATATGGGAAAGTATGGGGAATCATTTTATTTGTGTGTATTTATTTGTGTGTCCTTGGGCCCCTTGAATCTCGGCGATTGCGAGGGCATCGGATAGGCCATGGACTCGGGGACAGGGCCAAACCAAGCAATCGGCGATGTCCAGGGACGCTCGGGGACAGGCCCGAAGCAAGGGACTCGGCCACGCGCAAGCAGGGCACTGGACGGGGCTGGAGACGTTTGGGAACAGGGCCGAACCCGGGACATCGGCGACGACCACTGCACAGGACCAGGCCTGCGACACTCGGGGACGGGGCCGAGTCAAGGATGTCGGTGACGGCCAGGGCACATGACCGAGCTGTGGCAGTCGGCCCTGTGACGGCAGTCTGCGGCGGAAACTACGGGCGTCGGCCCCAGCCAGTGTCATGACGGGTGCCAAACCAAGTCCTCGGTGACCGTGGCACGCTGCCAGGGCTGGGGGCTGGGGTCAGTCGGAGATGGGGCGGCAACAAGAGATCCGGCAGAGACGAGGACACAGGGTCAGAGCCCAGGACGGTCGAGGATACGGCTGAACCACGAAAGCTCTCGGTCACCAGGGCGCAGCACCACAGTGCCGGGCCAGGAACAGTCAAAGAGACGGAGGGGAGCCAACGAGGTCAGGGCACAGCACAAGTGCCGGGGACAGTCGGGGACATGGCCGAGACACCCATAATTTCTCGGCGAGCAGGGTCAACACAAGGGCCAGGGACATGCTCAGGGGCATGGCGGGCTCAAGGAAGGCCGGGGCGCAGCGCCAGGGCCTGGGACGGGGCGGAGACGAGGAGCAGTCCTTCGGAGAAGAAGAAGCGCCATGAACATAAACTTTTGGCGCGGCGCTCCGCGCGGATTTCTTGGATCCGCGCTGGGCCCCCCCGGGAGCGCCTCTGGCGCCGCAGCTGGCGCACTCTGCGCGCCAGGGAGGGGGGTCCAGCGCAGATCCAAGAAATCCGCGCGGAGCGCCAACAGTTTATGTTTATTCCGTTTTTTCTTTTAAAATTACCGGAGGGGGACAGGGCCGAACAAATGGCGGCAAGCACGCCGAGCCGGGGGCAGTCGGATACATGCAGAACCACGGAGATCGGCGACAACCAAAGGCATTTGCTGTAGAACCTAAGCATTTTGCGGAGTCTTCGTGAGTAGTATTTTGGGGAAGAATCCAAATATGAAGATGCCCCTTCAGCGCGAGCCTGTTCGGCTGTTCAGGGCGTTCCTTGGTTTCTAAGGCCCTGCTGGAGCGTGCCTGGGCAGCAACGAGGGAATGTTCCCTTGGAGCCTATTTGGGCCTTCTGGGAGGTCTGGGGGGGGCGTATTCGGCCAGTCTTAGGGCATCTGGGCCTGGTTGTGGCCGTGGATAGCTGATCATGGGGATAAGAAGGTGCGGAGCGACTCCCAACATCTAGATGGGGCCAGGGAGCCGGCCGCCCTCATGAGGCCTGCAGCAACCCTGATCACGCATGCAGCCGACAAACTTTTCTAACACGCCCCGTCGCGCCAGAGGCACAATGACGGATGACAGCGCGCCGCATGCGCCAGGGACCATGCAATGTTCTATTGCCCAGCATTTGTCGTATAGTGGCGTGTACAGTTTGAGCCTCTCTGTCTTGGCGAGTGGGCGTTGAGAGTGCGAATGATTCATAGAGTGCCGCGGCTGCTGGCACAGGCCACTGAGAAGCTAAACGTTCCCCTGCCCTTGTATTTTCTGCGAAGAGCCGCTGGCCGCCTGGGCCAAAAGTGGTGCTAGGCACGCAGCGCAAATTGTTATGTCTTCGGGCTCAAGTTCATTGCCTGGGCTCACCGCCAGGTTAGCTTGTGCGTTTTTTCCAGCTTGCTTATTGGGCCGGTGCATCAGTGATTTGTGTTATCACATCGACACATATTGTCTGAGCAGTGCCAGCGGTGTTGATATCACGATCATATCTGCCAAGATCTGGGCTGGTCGTCATGGACATTGTAATCGCATGCATGCTGTAATTACGACGATGCCAGTTTATGCAGGTTGGTGTATTTCAACATTTCGACTCGCAGTTACTTTTTCCGCATCGTTGAGTCGAGCAGGGATGGTCGCGCCCCGCACCCCTCCTCCCCTTCCAATACATGATGTTCTTGATTGCACTTTTGACAGCGATTGCGACTGTCTGCGATTGATGGCTGGAGAAGTGTGTGAGTTGGCACCTTAGAGGGATCACCTGCCACTTGAGAGCAGTAAGTGCGTATCATGTTTCAGTGTACTGTTATGGTCAAAGTTGGTTGCCGTATACACGTTGCAGGGCTTGCGAATATTTCCAGATAGTTACGATGCATGGTGTTGGTGGTGGTAGCGGCGGCGTTTCTTGGTACTAAGGACACGTATTACGATCATGTCGACGTTAAAGTGATTATGAGTGTAATGCAAGCCACACACAACACACATACATGTACATACACACATACATACATCAATGCCTACATACATATACACACGCATGTATACATACGTATGTACATATTTGTATACACCTACATACAAACACACACATACATGACTGCGTGCATACATACACATACACATGCACGTACACATACACATACACATACACATACACACATACACAAACATATGCACTTCCATCCATACGCACTTACAAACATACATACACCAATCTATACACACATACATGCATGCATGCATACGTGCAGACATGCTTACATGCATACCTACATACATACATACATACATACATACATACATACATACATACATACATACATGCTTGTACGCATACATGTAGACATACACGCACATGCACTCACTTATATACATGCATGCGCATACATCTCGTGTACATCTGTTTATTCAAATATTGCGACATCGTCAACAGTGCGCAAATTGGACGCACCCCTCACGCAGATCGCGACGTCAGGATCCAAACGCATACATATTGTTTAACCTTGCTAAGCCTCCAAACGCAATGAATTCAAATGACATTGGACGCAGTTCTTGGACACGTTGCCAGTCCGCCTGGGACATTCCTCTAATATTCAAGCCCGACGCATTGGAAATTGTATTCACACTCTCCAGAATGACAGCTTCGCCCGAGATATCTTCCATCAATTGACATTGGAGCCTGTTTTCAAACGCAGTCGCGCAGTGTGAACAACCCTGCACACCCATCGCAAGTTGCGGCAACCCCACATGCATTCGAGTGACATCCCGCTATTGCACCTCCTTCCCAGCAGCCAGCTGGCCATCCTCTTTATCCTCCTCCTCTCCCTTTTCCTCTGCTTCTCCATCCTCTCAGTCCTCCTCCGGAGACCCGACCTCATATCTCTCTTCTTTTCCACCTCCTGCGATGCTTACCCGTGGTGCAGCTCTTTTGCACGAGCTTGGTCACGCACGTGCCACCTGTACATACAGTCCACCCGCAGAGTAAGGATGAGCCACTTTCCAAGGCTACCCTCCCGTTCCCTCCCCCTCCTCCTCCTCCTCCTCCTCCTCCTCCTCCTCCTCCTCCTCCTCCTCCTCCTCCTCCTCCTCCGCATTCTTGTTCCTTCGGCCCATCCTTGGCCGCTTTCGCTGGCCGCGCCCCGCTCGCAGAGTGCCGACATGGCCTTCACAAGGCCCCTGCATCCTTCCCCGTGCGTCCTCAGTCTACGGGCTGACTGCATGCACGTGTTGCGGCAGACTGGGAGGACGAGCGGCAGAGGTGGCAGGTGCTGGACGTCCCCGTCCAACGACCGCGGCCTTGCCGCGGCGGCACAGATCAGCGGGAACGGGCCACGCGCAGAGGGGGTAGGGGGAGGGGGGTAGGCTTCGCAGAAGCACCCCTGCTTCTTAGAAGGCGCGGGCCTTGTCTACAGATGTAAGGCCTACGCCTTCTAAGAAGCAGCCTCCTTCTACGAGGCCTTCCCACCTCTCCCTACCCCCTCTGCGCGCCGCCAAGGGAAGGCGTTACTACGCGAGGGGCGGGCAGCGGCGGGCGGGACTTCGGGGACGACGCTTTCATCGTTTCTGAGGGCCGCCTCTTTTTCCCAGCTGCGCATCCCCATGTTTTACGGAATGTGCGACACAGGTATCTATACTTCGAGCTCCGTCCGCATGGACTGAAGATATGTGCGTGGATGGGGGCATTAGCAGTCGAGTCGAGTCTCTCCCTCTCTCTCTCTCTCGATATGTTTGATATTCTTTCTTTCTCTCTCTCTCTCTCTCTCTTTGTCTTTCGACGTACCTATATATATATAGGAAAGAGCGTGTTCTACCGCTGCTGGCGGAAAACCGGGGGGGGTCACTACCGGTTCGAACCCCTCCCCCCTCCCCCCCCCCCTCCGGAAAACCGGGGGGGGTCACTACCGGTTCGAACCCCTCCCCCCCCCCCCCTCCCCGCTCATCATGAAAAGGGGGGGGGGTCACTACCGGTTCGAACCCCCCCCCCCCCCCCCCCCCCCCCGGATCCGGAAAACCGGGGGGGGTCACTGCCGGTTCGAACCCCCCCCCCCCTCGAAAACCGAGTGGGGGTGCGGACAGTGGTGGGGACGGTGTTGGTGGGGACAGTGGTGAGGGGATAGCGGGACAGTGGTGGGGACAGTGGGACAGTGGGACAGTGGTGGGGACGGTAGTGGTGGGGACAGTGGTGGGGACAATGGTGGGAACAGGGGGGGACAGTGGACAGTGGTGGTGACGGTGGTGGTGGGGACAGTGGTGTGGGGACAATGGGAATGAGGTGGAAACAGTGGGACAGTGGAGGGTGCAATGGTGGTGGGGACAGTGGTGAAGGCGGTGGCGAGGACGGCGGTGGGACAATGGGACAGAGGTACAGTGGGGACAGTGGTGGGGACAGTGGGGACAGTGGTGGGAACAGTGGGACAGCTCAGTGGGACAGCGGAGGAGTCAGTGGGACAGTGGGGACAGTGGGGATAGTCGGGCAGTGGTTGGGGCCGTGGAGACAGTGGGGAGAGTGGAACCGTGGTGGGAACAGTTCTGGGGACAGCGGGGACAGTGCGACAGTGGTGGGGCCACTGGTGGGGACAGTAGGGGCGGTGGTGGAACCAGTGGGGACAGCGGTGGTGAGGACAGTGGTGCTGGGAACACCAGTGGGGGATGTGATGCGGACGGTGGTGGGGACCGGGAGTCGTTTGCTGGCGGTGAGTAGGGGGGGGGGGGGGGGGGGGGGGTTCGAACCGGTAGTGACCCCCCCGGTTTTCCGGATCCGGAGAGGGGGGGGGGGGGGGGGGGGTTCGAACGGTAGTGACCCCCCCCGGTTTTCCGGAGGGGGGGGGGGGGGGGAGGGGTGGGGGGGGGGGTCCGGGGGAGAGGGGGGGGGGGGGGGGGGGGGGGGGGGAGGAGGGGAGGGGGGGGATTTTCGGAGGGGGGGGGGGGGGGGGCGACCCCCGGGTTCCGGAGGAAAAGGTTGGCAATTTTCCACAGTAAAGCGGCGGTGGATCACGCTCTCTCATATATAGCCATCTATCTATTACATGGATGAGTACCGGGCCCTCCAAAAAGGGCCCCGCCCACCTCTCTAACATCCGGGCCCCTTTTTTGATTACGCTTCCCCAGGGCCGCCAAGGGGCCTCAAGACGGCCCAAGAGACCTCCAAGCAGCCCCAGCAAGCTGCCAAACTCGTCCAAGAGAGCCCCGATACGCACAAAGCTCGCTCCACGACGCCCAAGATAGTCACCACACCCAGTCCAGCGCTTCGTGGACCCATAGGGAGCTCCACCGGAGGACCCAGTGGCGCAGCCCGCATGGGTCTCCCACGCCCAGTACACCGCTTTGTGGCCCCGTAGGGAGCTCTGACGAAGGCCCCAGTGGCCCAGCCCGCATGCGTCTCCCACACCCAGTACAGCGTTTCGTGGCCCCATAGGGAGCTCCACCGGAGGACCCAGTGGGGGTGCCCGCATGCGTCCGCCACTCTTAATGCAGCGTTCGGTGGCCTCATAGGGAGCTCAACCGAAGGCCCCAGTGGCGCAGCCCGCATGCGCCTCCCACACCCAGTACAGCGTTTCGTGGCCCCAAAGGGAGCTCCACCTAAGTCCCCAGTGGCGCAGCCCGCATGCGTCTCCCCCACCGAGTACTGCGCTTTGTGGCCCCATAGGGAGCTCCCACGAAGGTCCCAGTGGCGCAGCCTGCATGCGTCCGCCCCACCCAGTACAGCGTTTCGTGGCCCCATCGGGAGCTCCACCTGAGGTCCCAGTGGCGCAGCCCGCATGCGTCTCCCCCACCCAGTACAGCGCTCCGTGGCCCCATAGGGAGCTCCACCGAAGGTCTCAGTGGCGCAGCCCGCATGCGTCTCCCCCACCGAGTACTGCGCTTTGTGGCCCCATAGGGAGCTCCGACGAAGGTCCCAGTGGCGCAGCCTGCATGCGTCCGCCCCACCCAGTACAGCGTTTCGTGGCCCCATCGGGAGCTCCACCTAGGGCTCCAGTGGCACAGTCCGCATGTGTCTTCCCCACCCAGTACAACGTTTCGTGGCCCGACAAGGGGGTTCCACCGAAGACGATACCCAAAACTGCGGTGTTCACACTTGCAGTGTTACCCCCTGCTTATTCTTGCACATCAAGCCATAATTAAGGCCCCCGTCATCACCGAAGAAAAATCCCAGGAAGCTTTCGAGGGCCCCAAATCATCGAACACCGAAAGGAAATTGATGAGTTTGTGGTTTCCGCATGTCCCCTTTATATGCTTCCGAGGCTTGCGCAGGGACTCCCAGGAGGTCGTTAGATGCACGAGGCACTTCAACCATTGAGATTACATGCGTTAGCCTGTCGAGCCTAGCTAGAACTTGAGCGCGCTAAAAGCGCGCGATGGTTCTAGTACAAATGTATGTGCATATGCGCTTACATTCATGCATAAAACATATAAGAATCTCTGTATGTACTTAGACAAACGTGCCTAAACAACGAAATGCTTATATCTGTATACTTGTATACATGCATGTCTGTGTATATATCGGAGGTTGGGGGGTGAGATCGAAGTGGAACGGAGAGCCCCCCACCGGGAAATCGGTTTCGGTTTCGTGTTCGTGCGTGCCGTGCGTGCGGGCGAGGCGAAGCTGCGTGGGCGGGCTAGAGGGAAGTCTCCTGTGGCTGAGGCGCGGCCGGACCAAACGATTCTCCCTCCGGCAAGCGGTGGCCCGCAGTGTCCCGCCGGTGTCCCGCTTGTGGCTGGGTCCCTGCCCGACCAAATTATTCTCCCTCCGGCAAGCGGTGGCCCGCGGTGTTCCGCTGGTGTCCTGCCGGTGTCCCGCCGGTGTCCCGGTGTCCCGCTGGTGCGAAAACGATAGTGAGGCCGATGACAAAATCGATTGTGAGATCGATCGTGAGATCGATAGTGAGACCGATAGGAGATCGATCGTGAGATCGATAGTGAGATCGATAGTGAGATGAATAGTAATATCGATTGTGAGATCGAGTGGTATCGATAGGGAGATCGATAGTGGGATCGATAGCGAGATCCAGAGTGAGATCGACAGTGAAATCGATCGAGTGAGATCGATAGTGAGATCGATCGAGTGAGATCGATAGTGGGATCGATGGTCCCAAGAGCGAGCGGCAACGCAACAATCACCACTGTTGGCCATTGCTGCCCCCCCACCCCCCCTCAACCTCCTTATCACCCGCAGGGTGCTTGTATAGGTATGAATGTGTGCACACATCTATATAAGTATATCTGTGTGCGTTGCTGCGGCTGAGCATATACTTGTGAGCTAGCTCCGGGCGCCACATCAAACCAGAGCTCTGCTTGGGGGGCAGACCAAACATGTCATCGTGGGGCCTGGGGGCCTGGGCAGGCAGTTCTGGGGCACCGAAGCGATGTCATGGAGGCACCGAGATGGGGCCCCCGCCAATGCATGAAAGGCTCAATGCTGACGAGTCAGACACAATGTGCAGCCATGGGGGCACCGAAATGGGATCATCGGGCACTGGAATGGGACGCTGGGGGCCCCCAGCCCCCTCGCCCCCACTGCATCGATCCATCAGATGCCTTCTGGGACTTCTTACGTTTCCTCTTGTCCATCGTAAGATCGTGAGCAACCTGCCACCTGCTCCCCTTGTTCCATGTTTCACAGCGTTGCCTTTTTACACCCGTTGCGTCTCCGAACGTATCCGCACTGGCGCTGCCGGGGGGGGGGGGGCGAGCAAACTGGAGGAGGGGTGCGCTTTGAGGGGTGGGGAGGCCGCGAATCCCCCCAGCAAGAGTGACATTCGATTTTGGGGACCTCATCTGTTTTCTCGGCGGCGGGCCCGGGTGGTAAATAAGAGGGCATTCCTTCTCAGCAGGCGGCG